ATGACTAATGATGCTGAGCATCTTTCCATGTGCTTATTTGCCATTTGTATACCTTCTCGCTCTAAAGACTTCTTTGGTGCTTGGTGCCATTTAAATCCTTTGCCCATTTTTAAATTGGGTTATTTTTCTTTACTGCTGTGTTGTAAGAGTTCTTTATATAATCTGGATATAAGCTTTTAAAATCAGATATATGATTTGAAAATATTTTCTCCTACTATGTGGCTTGTCTTTTTATTAACACTGTTTTTTTCAGTAGTTTTAAGTTTGATAAAATCCTATTTATCTTTTCTTTCTTTTATGGACTATGCCTTTGGTATGGTATCTCAGAAATCTTTGCCTAACCCAAAATCATGATGATTTTCTCCTATGTTTTCTCTGGTTTACACTTTCAGGCTTTACATTTATGATTCATTTTGAGTTAATTTTTGTGTATGGTAAAAGGTGTGGCTAGTCAGTTGTTCTAGTACTGTTTAAAGACTCTCCTTTTCTCCACTAAATTGCCTTTGCACCTTTGTCCATATATATGTGAGTCTATTTCAGGATTGGTTTTTTTTTTTTTTGAGACTGTTTTTCTCTGCCATCCCAGCTAGAGTGCAGTGACATGATCATAGCTCACTGTAACCTCAAACTCCTGGGCTCAAGGGATTCCCCTGCCTCAGCTTCTCAAGTAGCTGGGACAACAGGTGCATGCCACCATGCCTGGCTAATTTTTCTGTTTTCGGTTGAGCTAGGGTCTGGCTCTTGCTCAGATTGGTCTCGAATTGTTGAGCTCAAGCAATCTTTGTGCCTTGGCTTCCCAGAGTGCTGGGATTATACCTGGGCGCCACTGCACCTGGCCTATTTCAGGATTCTTTAATGTGTTTCTTCAATCTATTTGTTTATCATCTTCTTCTTCTTCTTCTTTTTTTTTGAGACAGAGTCTCACTTTGTTCCCCAGGCTAGGGTGAGTGCCGTGACATCAGCCTAGCTCATAGCAACCTCAAACTCGTGGGCTCAAGCAATCCCGTTGCCTTAGCCTCCTGAGTAGCTGGGACTACAGGCATGTGCTAGCATGCCTGGCTAATTTTTCCTTCTTTATATATTACTTGGCCAATTAATTTCTTTCTATTTATAGTAGAGACGGGGTCTCGCTCTTGCTCAGGCTGGTTTTGAACTCCTGACCTCGAGCAATCTGCCCGCCTTGGCCTCCCAGAGTGCTAGGATTACAGGCGTGAGCCACCGCGCCCGGCCTATTTATCTTCATGACAATACCACACTGACATGATTAGTGTTCTTTTAATAATAAATCTTGAAATCAAGTAGTGTGAATCCTTCAACTTTGTTCTTCTGAAGACTGTTTCGGTTATTTTAGGTTTTTTGTATTTCCATATGAATTTTAGAGTTGGTAAGCCAATTTCTATAAAAACATATCCTGGAAATTTTGAGTGATGTTGTACTGAGCCTAAAACCTCAATTTGGAGAGAACTGATATTTAAGTCATATTGAGTCTTTCAAATCCATGAAGATAGTGTATGTCTCCATTTATTTAGTTTTTTTAAAATTTCTTTTTATAACACTTTATTTTTGTGTACAGATCCATGTATCTTTTGTCATATTTATTTCTAAGTATTTAATATTTTTGAAGTTACTATAAATAATACTGTTTTTTAAAACTTTAATTTCTGATTGGTCCCTGCTAGTATATAGATATAAGATTAATTTTTGTGTAATGATTTTGTATTCTGCCACCTTGCTAAACTTACTTAGTATTAGTCTAACAGCTTTTTTTTATAGATTCTATGATATTTTTTTACATAGACAATCATGTCATCCATAAACAAAGACAATTTCTTCCTTTATAATTTGGATTATTTTTCTTTCTTTCTTTTGCTTTGGATGCACTGGTTAGAACCTCTATTATAATGCTGAAAACAAGTGGTCACAGTGGACAGTCTTGATATGTTTCTGATCTTAGGGAAAAAGAATTGATTTTTTTTTTAAACTATTAAGTATGATGCTAGCTGTAAGTTTTTTTTGTAGATGTACTATACCAGGTTGAAGAAATTTCTTTTCTATTCAGAGTCTGTGGTGAGGTTTTCAATCAAGAATGGATTTTGTCAAATGCTTTTTGGCACTATTGAAATAATCATATAGTTTTTCTCTTTTAGTATAATATGGTAACAATTACACTGATTTTCTAATGTTAAATTTATTTTGCATTTGCATTCACTGGATAAATCCTACTTAGGTAAGACATGTTATCCTTTTTACAAGATGTTAAATTTGCTAAAATTTTGGCATTTATAATCATGAAGGATAGTGGTCTGTAGTTTTCTTTTTTTTGTAATGTGTTAAGTTTTGAAATCTAGGTAATGCTGGACTCAGAGTAACCTGGGAAGTATTCCTTCCTTTTTGATTTTTTGGTAGAAAATTTCTAATTAGCTGGGCCTTTTTGCTTTTGATTTCCTAATAATTCACAGATTTACTACACTGTGATCAGTGCTATTTATAATATTACTACTTTATGGAACTTCCTAATATTTTCTAGGGAAACTAATATATGATTATTTTTGTTGAATCTTTCTTATGAGCTTGAAAAGGTGTATTCTCTATTATCAGAGTTTAATATTTCATATTGATTATGCTATTTAGGTCTTCTATATCCTTTATTATTTTTTTCTTTGTCTTGTACTGACAGCTGTATGTTAAGGCACTAATCCCTTTTTAGTCTTTTCTCCCCTGAAGAGTTACCCTTCCAAAACTGCCTCCCTTTGATTCCCTTGTATGCTTTTAGATTCCTTCCCTACTCTAATCTAGCAGGACTTCTTTTCAGCAATTTTACACTTACAGTGGACTTTCTCTTTCAGGCAGTGATTTTAGATCAATCAATCTTAGGCTTATTGTTTGCTTTCCTCTGTTCTTTTTCATGCATGTTTTCCTAGACTGCTTTCAATCTCTACAAGGTTTGCATAAGAAATAGTCTGCTGGGATTAGGTATTTACTTTTCTATTCATCAGTAATTTAAAGTTTAGATATTATGTATCTTTTTTTTTTTTTTTTTTGAGACAGAGTCTCACTTTGTTGCCCAGGCTAGAGTGAGTGCCATGGCGTCAGCCTAGCTCACAGCAACCTCAAACTCCTGGGCTTGAGTGATCCTTCTGCCTCAGCCTCCCGAGTAGCTGGGACTACAGGCATGTGCCACCATGCCCGGCTAATTTTTTATATATATATCAGTTGGCCAATTAATTTCTTTCTATTTATAGTAGAGACGGGGTCTCGCTCTTGCTCAGGCTGGTTTTGAACTCCTGACCTTGAGCAATCCGCCCGCCTCGGCCTCCCAAGAGCTAGGATTACAGGCGTGAGCCACAGCGCCCGGCCAATATTATGTATCTTTTAGTTAGGCTGAGGGTGTGGTTTCTAAATAAGTGAACATTCCACTGAAAGCTAAAGCTCCAATTTCCTTTACTCTCCTCCCAAAGGGAAACCACCGGATAGTGGCTATATATATATATATATATGTATATATACACATATACATATATATATACACACACACACTTAAAGTATATATGTATCATTTCCATGCATGTTTTTATGTTTACTAAATATGTACAAGCTGTTTTGTACTTTTTAAAATTTACATAAATAATATCACACTGTACATATCATTTACAACTTGATTACAACACCATTATTTTGAGACTCATCAATGTGGATACAACACCTAACTAGTGGATATACTAGTTTTTTTTTTTTTTAATTTTTTTTTTTATTTTGGCATATTATGGGGGTACAGATTTTAAGGTTTCAATAAATGCCCATTTCCCCCCCTCCCCCCAAAAGTCTGAGTCTCCATCATGACCATCCCCCAGATGGTGCACATCTCACTCATTATGTATGTATATACCCGCCCCCCTCCCCCCTCCTACCTCCCCAGGATATACTAGTTTATTTATTCTAGGCTGCTATATCCCACTACATAATAAATAACACTTAATTATCCATTCCCATTCCATTTTCCACTATTACACTGTGAACGTACTTATATGTGATCCTTATGTGTAAATCTATACTTAGATATCAAGAAGGTATGTATATATGTAATCATAGGGTATGTATGTACATTTATTAGGCATTTCCAAACTGTTCTCAAAAGAATCTTTGTTAATTTATATCCCACTAACAATATCCAAGATTTTCCATTTGTCCAAATTCTTGCTATCACTTGTGGCATTACTGCCACCCTCTTCCCCCAAATTAAACTAGTCAGAATTAAATAAACTTCTGATAGAAAAAGTAGCATTTACACATGGAAAACTGACATGATGAATTACTGCTTTGTTCCTGTAGGTATTTCGTGATTGAGTCTTAACTATTAATTGAGTTTTGACTATTAGTTTTGAAGGTATAAAATAATTTATGGATATTTATTTTCTAGGCTCAAAGAATGATTAAGCATAGCAGGACGCCTGGAGGTACACTGTTTTGGCCTTCCCATAAAACTGTTTTAACTGAATGTCAACAGATCATCAGACTACCCTGAAGGATGCTTTCAGAAAATCTGTTTTGGTTACAGTGTTCCTGAGTATTTTTGTCTTTTTAAATGGCAGAGGAGAAATTTTGTCTATCTCATTACCAGGAGCAACTATGCTTATCTTATCTTGAACATTTCCTTCACTTTTATTGGTAAACATTGCTGATCTTAACCCCTTAATTATGTTATATGCTGGAAGGCTAGGGCCAAAGTCTATCTCTGGCAAATGACCTTAAAATAATAACTTCCACTCTTAGATTTGTGTTATCGTTTCTATTCTCATTTTGTCTATCTTAACTGTCTTGTATGTATTTTTTAAGCCACCTAAAATTAAACGTTCTGTTAAATGAAATGCTAACAATAAATTCATAATCAATGCTATATTATCTGTCCTGTATTTTTTCATGTTTTTTATCCCATCATTCTTCCATACTATCAAAGGCATATCTCATTAGAAATTATATTTTGGGATTACTCCGATGCTTACCTTTTCAGCTACCTCTCGCACAGACTGAACACTTGTTCCATACAGATGATTGTTATACTGGCCAGCTTCAATAAATTTATGTTCCTGGATATCTTTTTCCATCTGCTCTCTTGAAGTCACAAAATGATAATCTCTTCCATCTACCTCATAATCTCGTTTTGGTCTAGTTGTATCTTTAATAGAAAAGAATTTGGGGAAGTGTTTAATATAAAAACACACAAGTGATCCATTTCTACTTATATCATTGTTTTGTAATGTTCAACACAACAGATTAATTTAAATCTGAGAAAGGACAATAATATGGAGGATGGAAGAGTAATTAATAAAGTAACTAAGTATAAACCATTAATCAAGGTTATATTTACTTTTCCCACAGGTGACAGGAAATGTTAAGAACAATAATTAAGACTTTTTGTTTGGTTACTTACGAGGAACACAGGATCCAAATTTGTCAGGAAATTCTGAGATCAAATCATCATTTATCCTGTCTTTCATAGGTCCCAATATGATCACTGGTCGAGTATAATTAACTATAAAGAAAAATTACATGTTAAAAGGAATAAATTTTATTTTTATTTCAACAGAGAACAAAAATATCCTTAACTGTTATGAAGAATTTTTTTCTTTTTTCTCCAACCCACTCTACCATCATTGAAAGATGCCTAACTTGCTATTTTATAAACCTTTACTAAAATCTTAACCTTGACTCCATCTTCTGCTAAAAGTCACATACCTGATAATTCAATCAAGTTAAATTTAGCATTTTAGCAGATAATATTTCTTTATATTGCTAATATCATCTTTTTACAAATGAGAGAACCAAGTACGGTGTTTTACTGATGATTTTTGAATTAGAAATTGTAAGGAAGCAGAATAAGGAAGGGTAGAAAAGAAACTGGGTGTAGGAAGTAATATAATCACAGTAGTGATCTGGAAAGAGAATTTTTTTTTTTTTTGGTAGAGATGGTGCTTTACTATGTTTTCCAGGCTGGTCTCAAGTGATTCTCTCATCTTGGCCTCCTATAGTGCTGGAAGTACACATATGAGCCACTGTGTCAAACTAGAAAGTAGATGATCTAACATAAGTGTACACGCTGGGTTGCAAGGGATCATGCTGGAAGAAGGGAGATTGGTAGCGAGAATCAGAACACTGTGGTAAGAGGGATGCAAAAAAAGTCAAACAAGGTCATAAAAAAGAAGATATGATAGAAATATTAATAGAACAAACAGGACCCAGAATTTCTTGGATGAGGAGGATGAGGAACAGAAAGAGGTTAAAGATGCTTCAAAGAGTTTTCAAAAAGGGTTACTGGAAGGACAGTGATACTAACATGAACATTGGAAAAAAGATACTTAGGAAATAAAACACTAATATAGAATAGCCAATATAAAACGACTAGATTCTAATATACTGTGGGCTAAAAACCATGTTTCATAAAATACATATAGTAAATTTCTACTATATATACATACAGTAAAAAATATACAGTAAAATTATAATATAGCCTTTTTCTGAGGTATGAGTTAGACTTTTATGTTCCAAATTAAGTGATATATTCTTTTAGAAGATTATAAAACATCAACAGGCTTCACAAACCTTCTTGTTGATTCACTGGTTCATAAGATAAGACATATTCTTCTTGACCACCTATTAGAAAATTAAAGCATGGTTGAGAAAATCTGTATAACTACTGCTTATCTAATTTTTCATACACAGCATATATTACTAGAACTTTGCCATATAAATGGCAGAGATGTAGAAAAAAGTACTTTAAAATTATCTGTGGCAAGATTTAGTAAAACAAAAAAGCGGCAAATGATAAAGTTGTAAGAATTAATTTGATAAGTGCAAATAAAATATAAATGGGCTAAATAACTACTGTTCTATTATATTTTATAGATTATAATCAAATCTATGTAAAATCTTCATCTGTGACTTTGAGTATATGCTATTCACTTTTTATCTAGAATGTAAGGAACTATTCAATCTTTTACAGATTAATACTTTAATGAGCAGTTTTACATATGCACACATTAGGCAATTTGCTGCTGTTTAAAACGTGCTTCTTTTTGGTCCCACTAAATATAATATTTAAAAGACTACATTTTATTTTAAAAATAATTATTATTATATAACAATTAAAAAGTACAAACAGAAAGGTAAAACTATTGTCATTATTTCACTGATGAAAAAATTCACTAATTCAACTTTGTAAAAGTAACATTTAATGTGATTTAAAAGGAGATTTAGGTAAAACTAAATCCTTCCCTTCAAACAAAATGAACCACAGCGATGGTAAGGAAGATAAATATATTCTGCTTAAAAGCAATTAAGAAGGTATAGCCTATGAAGGTTAAATTAAAGGTTTAGAACTTAGGAAATATTCTAAATAAAAAAGTCTACAAATTATATCTGAATCCAATAAAAAGAACTAAGAGGTTAAAAATGCCACTTCTACACACACACACACACACACACACACGCACACGTGCAGAAAAACAAACTAGAAAAGACTGTTAATCCAAGTAACTCAATGAAAGTAATCAATATCAGATAATGTATTTGAAAATTTTCTCCTTGATTATCAAGATTCCATAACAACTTTATCACTAATTTTGTCATGGGTTTATATTTTATGCATGTAGTGCTGCAGGTCTTTTAAAACCATATATTGGTATAAACATTCTTTTCTGCTTTAAAAGTCTGTTTCTTTGTTTTCAACTTTATTACCATAGTATATAAAACAGATACTTTACAAGCTGTTTTTTAAAGTACTGGATGTAAAACACGGTTTACATACTAGCAAAAACATGCAATTTGAATATTCCACGCCTTAATAATGCATGCAAATGGTGAGACAGTATATACTTTCATTACCTCTTTTTATCCTAGAAAGCCACTCAAGTACCCTACAGTGGGTTCTGGCTATAAGTTAATAAAGTACTGAAATATATGAAGTACTGAAATCATATTCCCACACCAAAAAAATCATTAAGTAACTATTATGTAGAAAAAATAACTAACCAAATGAAATGAGGATTAAAAGTATATATTGTCAACATGAAAAAATATTAGGGACTGATATTAACAGGATAGACCTTTTGAGCAGCCATACTCATCTGTAATCAAGATTACTTTCATATTAGACAGCAGTAAAAAAAAAGTTAGAAAAGCAATTTTAATTTTTAAGGTGCTACAACTGATTATATTTATGTACTCTCCCCTTCTCCCATGCCCAGATCTGTTTAAAAACATCACATGCATGTATAATTCACTTAATAATATTGAGAATATATAACACCAAAAAGAAATCAGTATTACTTTTTGAGCTATCACTGAAAATGTTTCCTTTCTCATTTCTTATGTTCACCAAGAGCTGGTGATAAACAATGACTTGAAAGATCAGTACTGGCGACAGAGATAAGAAAGGAAATAAAGCTAATTTAGCATTACTGAAAAATATTATTTTAGTGCTCAGATTAAAAGCAATTACTAAACAAAATGTCAAAATATTAATATAATTTACCCCCATTTAACTAGATATTAATTTCTTATAAAAACATACACATACACACACATATGTACTGTGTATACAAATAACACTTTATAAAAAGGATGTTAGTATTGCATTAAAATTTTGTAAATTAACCTCTGTCTATGTAGTATAATTTTATTTTCCCGCACAGAATTTTACTTGGGTCTCTCTGATTTTATAATATTAATCATCTAATTTTCAGTTTTTAGAATGTATCACTAAGGAACCTCCAACCCCTCAAAGGATAGATATTACTTGAGATTACAAAAGAACAAGTAACTTAAAACACTTACGGTAACTACTTTCACTATCGCTGGCATTAGAAGTTACATGCTCTGAAATTGCAGGACAATGAAAAAAATAAAACACAGTGTCATGAGTTTAAAAAGCTAATAAAAGCAAACTATCAAAATAAAACAGGGTGACATTACAAAATGTTGAGATATAACCACACATAACAAAAGAGTTAAAAAATTTCTGAGTTTTTGAAAAGTTAACTTTTTTCAAATTAATATGAATTAGCAAGAGAAAACACTTGTACTTAAGGACAATGCCTCATTTTTGTATAACACAATGTATGAACTAATCTATATTACAAACAGCAAGTAGAATATGACAAAAAGGGCAAAATGATCCTAAGTCCAACTATAGACATAAAGCCCCCAAGAGAGAAAATGTTGGCACCATTTAATTCAGTTTATGAAATAGTGAAGAATGGCAAAGGAGACAAGTTATATCTCAGCAAACAGATGCCCATTTTAATGAAGTGGTATCTTTGTAATTAAAAAATGAACAGATGATATTGTTTTTAGTCCAGCTTCGTTTCTGAAGAGAAATGAAAATCCATGTTTTTGAGATCATACAGATAAAGCATTTTAGATGTCATAAATTCAGATGTCTTAAAAAAGTCAAATGGAAGGGAATTCTAGATAGTGTCACTGTATTTTAAAACAGACTATTTCTTAGAAACTCTGTTTTGATAAAATTGATGGTAGCTGCTTTGCAAAACAGAAAAAAAAATAATGGAAACAAATACACCCAGTTGAAAGTTGCCTGGCCCGATTTCATAACTTGGTTATTTAGTAAACTACAGGCATTCTTCTCATGCATGTAAATGTAATCTTGGGTATTCTCTCAATAAATATCTCTTCAATAAAATAATAATTTCATTTATAAAAAATAAAAACTAAAACTTTCAATGAGAGGGAAAATTAAATTTCTTATGTTAGGGAAAGGAAAAAAAAATTTTAAGGATAAGGAAAAAGTTTGAGTATATATATCTGCTATACCACACTACCTACAGGATCTCCTAAAATCAAATAGCACTAGTGAGAATCACAGAGAATGGTGGAACATAAGATTTCAAATTAGACAAAAAAAAAAAAAAAGGCTTTCTGAATTGCTTTCGTAATGAATAATAAATGTTATTCTAACTCGCAAAGGAAGATGTAACTTTCTTAATTATGATTATATATATTTTAAATAAACAGGGACTTTAAAAACGGCAAGTAAAATTTACTAATAGATGACAAGCACATGTAAAATGGTGGTTTTTTAAAGCTCATATTTAAAAACTCTTTCCACTTCAAAATAATCATTTAAAGTTACTGTATATTATTAGATTGATAAATTATTTACCTTGTTATTTATTAGAGATTTTAGTTTGCTTTAATCTGTTTTTCACAAACATCAGTAATTATGAATGCCTTTATTTATGTAGCTTTTTTACCTTTTGTCCTATTTCCTTAGAATTCATTCCTAAAAGTATGAATGCCACATTTAAAAAAGTTCTTAAGTTTATATTAGCATTGATATTACACTCTGTAACATCTGATTTGTAAAAGAAAGAAAAATTAGTTATTACAATGGGGTGAAGGGAGGGGGAAAGTGGGAGTGCAGAGGAAACAAAATTGGTTGATTGAATTGATAATTATGGAAGCTGGATAAATGAACATTTACAGGGTTTATTTTTACTATTCTTCTACTACTGAATGTCTTATGCGTTATATAATAAAAAGTTAAAGTTACTAAAATCTTTTTCCTATCTTTTTTACTTTTTTGAGACAGGATCTTGCTCTGTTGCCCAGGCTAGAGTGTAGTGGTGTCATCATAGCTCACTGCAACCTCAAACTTCTGTGCTCAAGCAATCTTCCTGCCTTAGTCTCCCAAGTAGCTGGGACTGTAGGTGTGCACCACCACGCCCGTCTAATTTTTCTGGTTTTTTTTTTTTTGTAGAGACAGAGTGGTCTCACTCTTGCTCAGGTTGGTCTTGAACTTCTGGCCTCAAGCAATCCTCCTGCCTTGGCCTCCCAAAGTGCTAGGATTATAGGCATGAGCCATGGCTTCCAGGTCTTTTCTATCTTTTTTGAGATTTCTCCCACTCATCTTAAACTCTCTGAGATTGCCAAAGGCTATATAACAAATTCTGCAAGTTCTTTCTAATATTTTACTTAGCTCCCATACAATAAAAACTCACTACTTAAAGTGTGGTCCTTGTAATAGCATCATTGTAATTACTTGGAATCTTACTAGAAAAATAAAATGCTTTTCTCCTGATAATAAAAAAAATCCTCCTCAAAACACTTCATCAACAACAAATAACCAATAAACATATAAAAAGGTGTTCAACTTGCTTATCAGGAAAATGCAAATTAAAACCACAAAGTATATTTCTACCATCCACCAGAATGGTTAAAATGAAAAAAATAAAACAGACATATCAAGCACAGATTAAGGATACAAAGCAACTGGAACTCATACCAGGGATGGGCAAATTGATAAAATTTCTTTGGAAAACTATTTGGCAGCACCTACTAAAGCTGAACATATGTATACACATGACCCACCAATTCCTTTCCTGGATATTTTTCCAACAGAAAGGCATATGTATGCTCACCAAAAAACATGTACAGAATGTTCAAAGCAACACTTCAAAATAGCTGCAAATGAATGTTTACTTACAAATAATAGATAATATATGTACAGTTTCATATTTTACTTTTTTCATTTATCTTGTGTGTTTTTCCATGCCATTATTTTAAAATATGATTTGCAATGGTTATATAATATTTCAAAGGATGGATAAATCATACTTCATTAACCACTTCCCAACTGTAAGACATTTTAGGATGGTTTCGTTTTTATTTGCTGTAATTTCTACACAATATTAAACATTTTAATACATAACCTTTATTTCCATCTCTAATTACATCTTTAGGATAAATTCCTTGAAGAGTATTTAGTGGGCTGAAATGTGGCCTTGTTAATCAAGCAGCTAAAAGAGGAAAATTATCAAACAGAAAGAGAAACTCACAGCACACAATTGCCCCTTTGAAGAGAAAATTCACAGCACAACTGCTCTTTGTTTTGTTTGATTAAACACCTGAGGTTCAACTCCTCTCCAAGCCTAACTTGTTATCTCTAAGAGTTTCCTTCTCAAAGCCCTGAAGGGCCCTAAGAGGACAACAGGGGCATGATCCCTCTGCTTTAGCTCTCTGCTAAAATCAGATTCTAAGGACTTACAAAATTGGCCTGAGAGAAAAAAAAAAAAAAAAAATTAAAAAGCACATGAGGCAGTTTCACAGCTGTTTGTGCTATCAGTTGACTGCAATCACTTTTTTTCTTTCTCTTTGCCCCCCAACAAAAACCCCAAACCTCCTAGGCATTGACACTTTCCTGTCCTCCTTTCTTGTCGTGCCCTTCCCACCTTTGGGAAGTAAAATAAACTTTCTTTCCTAAACTGTTCTACTCCTGGTGTGAGAATTCTTTCTCCAACCCATGCCATGACCTCCTCTTGAGTCCCTTGTGACCCTAACATGGGTCAAAAGATATGCTTTTTCAGAAAGGCTGTACCAATGTACATTTCCAATTGTAGTATGTTAAAAGTAGCCACTTTGCAGAACCTTTTCCATCACTGAATTTTCCTTTACAATAAAAGTCTGCCAAGGTGACATGTAAAACATCATTTTATTGATTATTAGGGAGAAATTAAACATTTTTATATGCTTATTTCATTTGTATATCTTTTGAGCACTCTGTCATATCCTTTGTCCAGTGTTCTAATGGGGAGTTAGTCTGTTTCTTATTAATCTGCTAGAAATTTATAGTGTAAAGATATTATCCCTTTGACATACATGGTACAAATACATTCTTCAAGTTTTTATTTTTGTTTTATGATGTTTGATGAACACAACTATTTCAAATCTCTCTAACCAAATTTCCTACTCAAACATTTCTTCCTGATACAGTGTTTTATGTCTTTTCTCTTTGCTCTCCCTTAATACATCATTAGTACCGAGCAATACTACTTCTTTTACATCTTATTTGTACCACAAATGAAAATAAGTCTGGATCTGGCATCTTAGAGCTCTGCATAACTATGCTTAAATAAGTCTTGAAGATGAGAAGAAAGGAAAGAGGTACATAACAGGAAACTTATGTGCCTAATTGAGGAAGTTTTTGAGCTGTACAAAATGGAAAGTTGTAAAAATGGAAAGGCTGCATGTAATAGGAAGAAACCTTTCCTGAAACTGTATGTCATGATTTCACTTCTGAGTACCTTATATATCTTCTATTGAGTTATAATAGAGTTATACCCATTTAGCCTCTGTTAAAGGAATCTTAACCAGTTTTATTCCCTTGAGCTTTCTCAAAATTGCATCCTTAAAGCATAAAAGCTGAACAGGTTTCTATTTCTAGCTTTTCACAAATATGATTTAATTGCAGTCTCCCAGACTTCTAGCTTCTATTGTACTCTCATTAATTAGTTCTGTTAGTCAAAATTAGCTTTGGAAAAGTGATTTCTCTCTCATTGTTTCTGCTACTGTCAACATGGGAAACCAATAATTTACTTGACTCTCTTTTTTAGAATAGAGAATGGCTGAATTCATGTCTAGGAAAAGTATCTATGATATCACTTCTATTTCTTTCTCTGTTCTTTAATTAAATACCCTGCTTTTCATAGACTGTGTAAATTTACATGCATATGTACTTTAATTTTGATATCCAGAGTTATTCTCCATCTCTTCAATAGGCTTGTTTTTCTGGAATAATTTACCCTTCTCTTTGGAGTTCTGTTCCAACAAGGTTTAATGACTTAGGCTGCATTTAATTCTTATATTAAAATCTCACAAGATTTTCCTTAGTTTATTTCCTATATTCTGAACTTTAGAATATAGATAACTCAGGCCACAAGAAATGTCCTTGACCCACCCTTCTTTTTAGCATTTTCTACTGTATAATTATAGGTATCTTGTCAACTGCTTTATGTGGTCTATTTTATGTGGTAGCCTCTATCATACCCAGTTTTAGAATTTTACTGATATTTTTCTGTCTTTCTCATTTTCTTAATAAAATCTTGATCTAATCATTAAATTACCAGGCAAATAAATTCTTTCAATTCTTGTGTGATGAAGCACAGAAACCTATCATTCAAGGCATCTTAAGTCACTGACCAGAAAATAAAATCTTTATCTAAATAATGCTGCCCAATAATGAATTACAATTTTTCATATTATTTCTCTTCCTAAGTCCCAATCTTAAAATAGAACCTAAGATACAAAGTCAAGGTATTATATAATTATCACCCATCATAATATCAATATAGGACAAAATTCACTTAATTCCTTTTTTTTATGAGTTTTACAAAGATTGCTTTTGACTCAACAGACAATAAAAATCTGTGGGTCCATTTACTGATCCATACTACTTTCAAAATATGTTATCAATCTCAAAATGAATTCTATAGCATTAATAATCTGGGGTAATATTTTCCAGTTTTGAAGATTTTCATTGATAATTTTTCTCAAATAGAAGAGATTAAAAAAAGGGTGCCACTAGTGACAGGAAATCTGTGGCTTTTACTAAATCTTAAAAAGGCACATGCAAAAATAACAAAGCATGTCCAACAGAAATAATTATACATAAAGCATACTGTTCTCAATCTGATACAACTCTAAATCATTAAGGTTGAAATAAAAGTCAAGTACCTATAGTTAAGATTAAAATTCCAGTATAAAGTTAGCATAAATCAGGAAAAAATCTGAGAAATTTGATGTTTAATATAGATCTTAGAAAGTTAAAAGATATAGGCTATATCCTTAATGATCAATGAATAACAAAGAAATATGTTTTCAATATGCTAATGGAAATAGCATTTAGAAAAAAATTACCCTAAAAATTACTTCTGATTCACTGTCACCTAGAATTACTTAGTAATATTTGATAAATTTTCACATTTAATTTGAAAACACAATTTAAAATTTTGTTTGCTAAAATGGCTTCTTGCTTCATTCATTCATTCTAATATTTACTGAATGCTTTCTATATACTTGATTCTGTGCCATGCTTTATATGAATCTAAGTAACTAGCTAGAAAATTAAACAAGAAAAATAGCAACAAAACCCCAAAACAGGGACATCATCTTTGTTAAAGGAACAACAAAGGACAATATTTCTTATAACTTTTCTTATAACTTGCAACCTTCTTAAAAAAGAGATACATAATTGACCCCATAAATAAATCATTACTTGAACTTGGTATCTGCAATTCTTCTCTAATAAATGAGATATGGTATTTTATACTTTTATGGTGATGCTTTATAACACATAATCAAAGTGATTTTAACTTATTTTAACAAAAAAAGGGGGACATAAAACTCCAAAGAAGCATATTTCTACATTTTAATAACAAAGGCATTGTAGTACTATTTAAAAAACTTAAAAAATGTCTTTATATTTAAAAAATCCTTAACAAAACTTAACTGCTAGAAAAATTACAAAAAGGCAAATGTAATTATGAACAGAGTTTTTCAAGTGACATGTGAAAAATGGAAAATAAGAAAAACAAAAAGCATGTATTATAGAAATAAAAATCCCAAGTATGTTATAAACATGAAAAGTCTAAAAGCAACTAAATAATATACCTCCTTATGCCAGAAGAGCACTACCATGAATATCAAAATATATCGGAATAAAGGTAGGTCTGTAGATGGAGGTTAAAAAATAACTTGGGAGTATTTTGATCACTTACTCAGGCCTTTTGATCCCATGTCGTCAGGGATCTCCTGTAGAGAGTAGTCCCCAGAGAGCAAGCAATAAAAAGATAATCAAAGAAAATAGTTGTCAGTAATGCATAAAATTGGTGCTACAGTAAGAGACAGTTCCAAGACCATTACAGGTACACATATAGAGCATTTTTGTAGCTTTCTAGAAGTTTGAAATGATGTAGCAGCTAACTGTAATTTATCAAAAGAATGAAAGTTCTAGCTTGGAGGCTGTTTAGGGTAGTAAAACAAAATTTCAGACCATTTCTTGCGATTTTAAAAGTAAAATTCAGATTGTCTACAAATAATAAAGAAAAAGATAAAATGGAATGATTCCAGACAGTCTAGTATCAAAGTTTTGCAAAGCTATACCTAGAAATAAATTAGCTTCTCAGTTATTCATGCTTTTCCTCTAAAATTCTTTGAATGTATGAATGTTAAGTGTTGTTCATAAAAACCTCTACTTCAAATAATTCTATTTATATATTTGTTTGTTACAAATATATAACTTAAAAAGATTGTTTACTTTAAGAATTCTCAAGATGCCAGAAAAAGTTAAGATTGGCATACAATTAATTTATGCTTGTTCAATTGCCCCTGGTTAAGACAATTAGTAACCTGTTGCAGCTCTTGAAACTGTCTCCATGGTAACAACCAACTGCAGGGCAGTAGGTCCCTCTATGTTTATTTTCAGTTGTTCACTGGATCCACATACTTACGGTCAGCATCACTTGTTTCCTGCTCACTCTGGTCCTTGTTCTTGTAGAAGGGGAATTTTCGGGAAAAGAGGTTCTTTTTACGCTTGTCATTGAATGACTGCTGAAGAAGAGAAGGAGGGGCAAAACAAAGGGATGTCTACTGTCTGTGTGTACAAAGGCCCAGCCTAGCAGCTCTGTGGAAGCTGACTCCTATGACCACAGTGTGCAGTTTGTATATGAATCTTACTTTAATCACCTGTAAAGTGAATTTTTAATTTTGTATAAATTCCTCTAATATTTTGCAACTGAAAACATTAAAAAATTTTAGATTCTAATTTAGTTATACCTAAAAATAAGGAATAAATGCTACTTGACAAAAAAAGTAAATCAGATTAACCAATACTATAGTACAAACCAGCTAACATTTGTTTATATCAATCCATAGTTTTCCAGAAAAATTTCCAAGTACTAGGTGGTGCTCCATGGAAAAGTTATTTTAAATGTTATCGTGCTAAATGTTACTATATTATTATTTTTTATGCATTAGATAGTACTCTTCATTTTACTTTGGCCTGACCACAGTTATTTCTTTTTCCCTTTTTTTTGTGGCCACAATGAACTAACAGAAAAGCCATTATTAACAAAATAAACCAAAACAATTATGAGAAAGTTGCTAATGCTGAATATTTAAAAACAAATAATCTTATTCTTTTTGAAGAGGAAAAAAGGTAACTATGTGTTTATAGCATGAATCAGAAAATGGGAAGAAAACGAAGAGATCCATCAAGTACAGGTCCAGCAAAGATTTATCACTGCTATCTAAGCCAAGGAATAAGAGTCAGAAGTCTCCTGGACAACTTGAATGCTATCAGGACTGATTTACTTGTTCTTAATTAAACTCTACTATACTTGTCTATTTTTAAAAGCATATACAAATAAAACAGAACCATATCCAATCCATTGACCCAATGGCCTTCATAAAAAATAAAAAATTTGGTGCCCACCAAAGCCACAAAGGCACTTAAGATTCTAACAGTTTATATACAATCGCTATGTGGGAGCTGAGCAGCTGATTTGATGGCTATTAGTGCATAGATGCTGGAAAAAAGTTTTTTTCCTTTGAATGTCCCATTTGTACATTCACAGCTTTAAGAACATGTAGCACAAAGAATGATGAGGCTATTTAAAAAGAAACAGCTTCTTTTGTAATTTCTATGTCATACGTATCTATCTTTCGAAGGAAATGGTCTTTAGCTACCAGCGACACTTGGAATTATTATATTTTTTTGAGGGGAGGAGGAAGGGAACAATATAAAGGATAGAAGTTTCATTGTTATTTATTTTTTTCTGAGACAAGGTCTCTCTCTGTCACCTGGGCTAGAATGCAGTGGTGTCATCATAGCTCATTGCAACCTCAAATTCCTGGGCTCAAGTAATTCTCCTATCTCAGCTCCTTGGGTAGCTGAGACTACAGGGGTGTGCCACCATACCCAGCTAATTTTTCTATTTTTTGTAGACAGGGTTTCACTTTTGCTCAGGCTGGTCTCAAGATCCTGGCCTAAAGAAATGCTCCCAACTTGGCCTCTCAAAGTGCTAAGATTAATAGATATGCCCAGCCCCTGTTCTGATTTTTTTGGAGTTTATCCATGTCTTAAGATGCTATATCATTATTTGGAAGTATACTGACACTAGGTAATATGTTTTAGCATGCCTGTATTTTAAGCATACAGTGCCAGGTGGTTAAGGTTTTGAAGTAGATTAAAGTGACTTTTAGCTCTAATTCTGTGACTTGAGGAGATTTATTTTGATAAGGATCTTTATAAAAACAAGGTTAAACTTTTATTTTTACCTTTTCATTATCAATAATTCAGGATTAATAAGTTCATAATTCGTTAGACAAGCAGATTGTCTTGATCTCAATCTTAAATTTTGAAGGCTCTGATGAACTAGATAAAAGAGAACTCTAAGCAGAAGTTAAAAATTCAGCTTAGAAGAAAGTATTATGGAGAACTCTGGGTTTAAAACTATTCTATAATTTGTCAAGTAGCATTATTTGAATAAAAATCTTTGCTTGAATCCAAATTTTAGAAGAAATTTAAGTTTTAGTAGAGAAAAAATCATGGTAATCTAATTTAGGGAAGGACTAAATCTTTTCATTCATAACAATCACTAGTTTTGAATTTGGCAATAGTTTTTATGATAGCTGATAAAACTGATATACTTTCTATAAAAGGTTATTTACCCCTCTTACTGCATATATAGTGGTCAGAATCAGTTTCACAGAAAACAACCAAAAGAAACATGAAGTTTAAAATGTTTTGATTCTTATTATCTTTGCAGTTAGGTAAAATAAGATATCATAAAGATATCATAGTATAAAACAAAAAGAAATGTTTGTTAGTTAAGAAATGTATTAATTGTATTACATTTACTATCCTCCAGGTGAAAAACTTATTAAAAGTAAAAATAAAAATAGCACAAGCAAACAAGACAAAAATGTGTAGGGAAAACACAAAACTAAAGACTTGCTACCTCCAGTTTCTCTATATTTTCAATAAAAAAATACTGCGATTAATTACTTGTCATTAATGCTACAGTGCAAAAAATATAAGAACTAATACCACAAATTCATGATATATATTAAATATCTAAATATATAATGTCTACATGTAGTATTTCAAAATAGCCAAATGAATGTTAAAAATGTTAATGAGAAACTGAAATGTTATAAAAATAAAGTCCACAAATTACCATGTAAGGAAAGGAAAAGGAGGAATAGGAAATGGTATTACAGAAAGAAATGCAGTTCTGTATCAATGGCAAGCGTATTTTTACCCCACTCAGTATCATGCATAGTTTTGGTGCTGTGTTAGAACACAGTTACTGTGTATAATAAAGTTGGTTACAGTCGACAAACATGACTAAGATTTAAATATGTCGTTAATTCAGTTAACTTCTTACAGTATGAAAGAAAAGTTACAACATGCAACCTCTGTTTCAATTCATCAATGTGTGTATTATACTAAATTATTATTTTTTTTTAATTATTTTTAAAGACATACATAAAACAAGCACAAAAAACATTGTACATATTTCAATTACTGAGCATTTACTTGGGATTTTTTCTCCAATAAAAGTTTCTATTTTAAGTATTGTTTCAAATCATGCTATATAATTTTGTATTTTCTTAAAGCTATAAGTTAATTTTAAATAATTTATCATTTCTAAAAAAGGTGAATGTACTACATAATTTACTCATGTAATTTCTTAGATCAATCATATTTATCTTTTAAATTTTACCACTTTAAGCTTGAGTGCTTAATGGCATCTTATTTGCTGAGTTAACTTTCCATATTTGTTTGAGATATGATCAAAAGGCTTATAAAAATTTTGCTTTAGATTTAAAAAATGCAAAACATAAAACATTGTTATGAATAGTATTTCAACACATGTGTCCAGCTCTTTCTTCAGGCTTACTGCTAGAATATTCTATTGCAATGAGTTCAGGATAATTAGGATTTACACACATAGTTGAGGATGAAGTCTGTACTATCTTTTCAAACTATTGACATTCAAAATTTTTAGAGTCAAGCAGAAGGACTTAAAGGAAAAATAAATAAACTTCTAAAATATATGAAAAAATTTCAATATATTTCTTGATCATCGACAAACTTCTCCTCTTGAGTGGCACTTTCCTTATTCTCTCCAAATAAAAATTCATACTGATTTTAACATTTACAACATAGATTTTCTCAAAAAATTATGTCAGGAATAATGTAGGGAAAGAATAAGGGAATTTTCAACAATTCACTTGCAACAACTTGTAAACTTAGATTATCACTCAAGTTAATATTTTTTGGGGGTGGATATTTTCTTGTAAGAGTCATTTATTAAATTACCTAACACAAATTAACACTGGTAACATAAGTTTCTAATTGGACATCTGAATGAAAGTTTAATCCATTTTATTTATAAAACTAAGCTTGACCAAAAGAATATGTTTAAGAATATATTAAATGACAGTTTTGATAATTTGGAAAAGTCTATAAAAAAGGGTGCTTAAATGTAATAAATGCTTACTTCAGTGTTTACTATTGTAAAGCATCATGGCAAGAACTGATCATGACTAATTCTTACAGCAAAATAATTCTCACTTTAATAATGTAGCTCAAACAAAAATTATCAAAAAGGTCTATTATCCTCAATTACTAATTTCCAGAAATAAGAGATTTCATATACTCACCCCTTTATCTCTTGTTTTAGAATTGAATTTCACCGTTTTTAACCGGGCTCGTTCTTTCTTCTCAACCCTGTCAACGTACAGAATGTTATTTTTTAAAATATAATACACATGTGTATATTTATATATGTACTCAATTTCATAATTATATTGAAAGTATTATGAAGTACCATTTCCGAGTTTAGCAGTTATCTAGGTTTTCTATTTGAAAAAATTTTTAAAAATATTAGCTTAGCATGGAACACACATGCTAAAAATTAAGCTTAGGAGAGAGAAAGCAAATGTGGTAAAATGTTAACAATTGATAAAAGTGGTGAAGATTATGCGGATGTTCACTGTACTACATTGTTTTGTACTTTTCTGTACCTCTGGAACTTTAAAAAAAAAGGTAGGAAATAAAAAAAATTAAGCTTACCTCTAATGACACGTATGTATAAATTTACAAAGCAACCAGTTTTAGTGTATAAATAAGACTTGTAAAGCATTTTTGGGGGGCTATTTAAGGAACTGGTAACCTTCGTGTTCCTATGAAGGTGAAATGAGTGCCTTCATTTCATGGAGGGAGCTTGTACAGCTTTTAGATCTTTTGAATTTGAACCTTTTAAAAGTGTTACCTATCCAAAATAAGCAAGCATATAAAACTATAACAATAAAACAAATTTTCATGTAGACTGTAATATCAATATGAATCCTACAAAATTTCATGTAAATTAAGCTTTTATAAATCCTCTGATTTTAACATGTCACTTAGGTTAACATATATAGCAGAAAAGACTACCAAAACAGCCTATGAATAAATGCATTTTATTTATTTTTTATTATCTAGCTACATAGTTTTACTATGGGTACAGAAGAATCTTAGCATTCATAGATTTAAAACATGGTTTTTTTTTTACTATTCCAGAGCCTCCATGATATGAATAATTTATAATCTTGCTTAGGTACTTATTGAGAGCACCACAAAACTAGCATTTAGTGAGAATTTACAACTCAACTTTGTTTTTTAATCATTATCTTCTTCAGTAATTAGTTCAGTGACTTAAATCTTGTTTATTTGTAGGACTGATGTTGCTGTTGCTGCCAGGCCAAGAAGGAAGAAGGGAAGGCTAAGCACTCCTACACACCCTGGGGACAAATCCCATTGCTGCCGCTACCAAGGTGAGAGCAAACTGTACTCCCCAGAGATCTGCCTATGCTTCTCCAGCTGAGAGGGGCGCCTACCTTCCCTGATGGAAGCCTGGAGTGCAGGCTGTTACTGCCTACACCTAAGCATTCTACCGGCAACCTGGGGACTACCCCACCCCTGCCTATGACAGCCAGCACCATAACATACTCTTGGGGGGCCTGAAGATGAGTCTGTCAGCTTCAAAATCGCCTTGTTTAGTCCACTACCAATGGCACCTGATAACTCCTTCTAGGTCAGAGATTGGGCTGACCCAATCTGCCAATACTACCACAGCTGGCAGACACCCACACATGCCACCAATGAACCAGTCCCCTGTTGCTGCCAACACCACCAGTATGGACTGCTTGGTCTCCAGTAGGTTGTTCCACCACTGCCACTTCAGTTGCCTGCATCGCATTAGCTGTCCTGGGGTCTGAGAAACTGTTCATATGCTTGGGCCACTGCTGCCACTACCAGAATCTGAGCAACCCACCAGGGGGCCCAAGAATTGGCCCTCCTGGACCCACTAATACTGGTGCCAACAAAAGCTGCTCTGATGCCCAAGAACAGGCATGAACAACCCACTGCTGCCACCTTTGGGGCCCAAAGCATCCTAGTCCTCAGCAAAACTTCTCACAGCCTCCACCTAAGCCACTGAGGAAATCACAGATACCACTCACACTGTTTATAGCTCAAGAAATCATAGAGAGATCACACCACTGCAGGTAACCAAAATCAAAGCCAAAACACCATACCCAAACAACTTATATACGTCTTCAGGAAAAAATCCTCACTTAGAAAAGCAATTTCAAAAAATTGGAAGAAGCAACTGTTACATCCAGATGTATACATATCAATGTGATGACAAAGGAAACATGAAAAAGCAAAGAAACACGATGTCATCAAAGGAACACAATAATTCTCCAGCAACAGATCCCAATCAAAAAGAAATTCATGAAATTCTGAATGAAGCATTCAAAATACTGATTTTAAAAAAAGCTCAGTGTGGCCAGGCGTGGTGGCTCATGCCTGTAATCCAAGCACTCTGGGAGGCTGAGGCGGGCGGATTGCTCGAGGTCAGGAGTTCGAAACCAGCCTGAGCAAGAGTGAGACCCTGTCTCTACTATAAATAGAAAGAAATTAATTGGCTAACTAATATATATAGAAAAAACTAGCCAGGCATGGTGGCACATGCCTGTAGTCCCAGCTACTCAGGAGGCTGAAGCAGGAGGATGGTTTGAGCCCAGGAGTTTGAGGTTGCTGTGAGCTAGGCTGACACCACGGCACTCACTCTAGCCTGGGCAACAGAGTGAGACTCTGTCTCAAAAAAAAAAACAACAAAAAAAAAAGCTCAGTGAGAATCAAGAGAATTCTGAAAAGCAATACACAGAAATCAGAAAAGCAACTCAGGATATGAATGTGAAATTTATCAAAGAGATATTTAAAAAAAATTAGAAATTTTGGAACTGAAGAAGTCATTGAATGAAATATATTCAAAAGCTTCAACAACAGACTAGATCAGGGGTCCTCAAACTTTTTAAACAGGGGGCCAGTTCACTATCCCTCAGACCGTTGGACAGTGTGCACTGTGGGCCAAGATGAGTCAGCTGCTAAGCAGGACAGGCAGCTGCGGCAAAAACACCCGGCAGGCCAGATAAATGTCCTAGGCGGGCGGCATGTGGCCTAAAGGGCCATAGTTTGAGGATGCCTAGACTAGATCAAGCAGAAGAATCTCAGAACTTAATGACATGTCCTTTGAAATAATCCAATCAGACAAAAGTAAAGAAAAAAGAATGAGCACAGTCTGAGCAACATAGTGAGACCCTGTCTCTACAACAAAATAGAAAAAATAGCTGAGTGTAGTGATGTATGCCTGTAGTCCCAGCTATTTGGGAGGCTGAGGCCAGAGGATCACTTGAGCCCAGGAGATTGAGGTTGCTATGAGCTATGATCATACCATTGAACTCTAGCCTGGGCAACAGAGTGAGATCTTGTCTCAAAAAAAAAAAAAAAAAGAGAATGAGCAAAGCCTTCATAAAGTCATAAAGTGACTAAATATTCAAATTATCAGTATCCCTGAGGACAGAGAATGAAAGGATTAGAAAACCTATTGAATGAAATAATAGGTGAAAAACTCAGAAGTCTAGCAAGAGATTTAGACATCCAGATACAGGATGATCATCGATACCCAGGCAGATACAATGCAAAAAGATCTTCTCCAGACTACATTATAGACAGACTATCTAAAGTCAAAGAGTGAATCCTAAACACATCAAGGAAAAGCATCTGGTCACCTATAAAGGAAACCCCATTAGACTAACAGACTTCTCAGCAGAAACCTTATAAGCCAGAAGAGAATGGAATGATATATTCAAAATGCTGAAAAGAAACAAACAAACAAAGAAAACCTGTGAGCCAAGAACACTCGATCCAACAAAATTTTACTTCAAAATGAGGGAGAAATAAAGTCTTTCCCAGACAAGCTAATGTTAAGGGAATTTGCTAATACTAGACCAGCCCTACAAGAAATACTCAAGGGAGTACTTGGCCTGGAAGCTAAAGGATGACATTTACCATCATGAAAACATATGAAAGTACAAAACTCATTGGTAAAGCAATCACACAAAGGAGGAAGAGAAAGGACTCAAATGGTATCACTACAGGAATCCACCAAACCATAATGATAGACAATAAGAGAAAAAGAAAGAAATAAAGAACATATAAAACAATGAGAAGACAATTAACAACATAACAGGAACAGAACCTCACATTATCAATAATAACCCTGAATAAACAAATTCTCTACTTAAAGGAAACTCACCTTACCAATAAAGACATATAGACAGAAAGTTAAGGGATACAAAAAGATATTCCATGCAAATGCAATCAATCTAAGTGTTCATCAACGCATGAATGGATAAAGAAAATGTGGAATATATATACAAGGGAATATTATTTAGTCATGAAAAAATGAAATCATGTCAGTTCTGGCAACATGGATAGAACTGGAGGTCATTATCTTAAGTGAAACAAGCCAGGTACAGACAAATATTGCATTCTCACCAATATGTGGGAGCTAAAAATTGACTGGGAAGAAGGGTAAGTGGGGAGGGAGGAAGAAGGATGAAGAGAAGTGGGTTAACGGGTACAAACATATATTTAGATAGAAGGAATAAATTCAGTATCTGATAGCAGAGTAGGGTGACTATACTTAAAAATGTACTGTACTTGGTGATAGACACTCTAATTACCCTGACTTTGTCACTACGTATTATATACATGTAACAAAATTTCACATATACTCCATAAATTTTTATAAATAAAGAAATTGTGTATATTTGTAAATACTGTTCCTGAAAAAAAAGTGAAGAACTGTAGGAATTACAATTCCTTATGCTAGTATAAGAAGTTTTCTAAGAAAGAGATAGTTCTATTCAAGAAAATGTAAGTTTTGAATATATTCAGGAATGAAATGGCATAATCAGTTGTGGTTTCATATTGTATTTTATAGGAGTAAAATTATATTTTGTAATGCTATTCATGGATTTGGGGATTGGTAGAGGTCTCAAAATATATCTCTTACATCTTGCTTCAAAACACAATTTTATAGAATTTTTATACAAAACAAACAAACAAAAAAAAACCTCTCCAAAAAAGTCAGCAGTATTTCTTACTGGTTGCAGACAATTTGTTTTAAAACAATTTTTTGGGAACTCTGACTTTGATATTTAGGACATGAGCTTTCTACTGACTCAACAAGACATAGAGGAAGCATTTCAGAATTCAAAGCAGATTACGTTCTACAATAGGAAAAAAATTATGCTGAGGGCTGCACTGCTATTAATAAACGAGGATTTGCCATCAAATATAAGATCTAACAAAATAGTTGTATCTTGCTAAATATATGGATCTACCTCAACAACATTTATAAATCCTGAAACCATAATCACAAATCTTGGTAATACTTTAATAATATTACTCTTCAACTTCTATAGTTACACAAATATTTATAGAGGTCTATAAATAGTTATATGATTTGGTGTATTTATCAATTATAGTAACTCCAACAAATAGGTATAAATCCAACTCATTAGTAAGAAAAGAACATGTTTATTACATCATAAGCTTGATCTAAGATGAATTAACTAACTATAATAAATATTACTTTATTATCACATTAACCATTTTTGCTAGCCATCTTAAAGCTTTAAAAAGCTCTAAAGAAATTTTAGGCAATAATTTGGATGAATCAGATCTCATTAATAAGCTATCTTGGAAGAATTATGAACTGCCATTTTAATATCTTTCCCACAAAAGTAGATACACTCAACATTTCATAGATCTTAGAAGGGGTTCTCTAAACTGGGATCATCCTTTGCAAAGACAGCCTGCAGTTAACAACTCTTGCTACTAGATTGTAAGTAGGCACCAATGAATCACTAAAATGAATGGCTAAAAGCAAAGAGGAGTGACCAGTGGATTGGTCAAGCATAAAATCACCTTCCAGTAAAAGAAATGTATTTATTATTTATTTATTCAGTTGTCTTGGTAATTATTTTTAATTATATATATTTAAAGTGTGCAACTTGCTGATTTGATATACATACACACACACACACACAGTGAAATAACCACCACAATCAAGCTAATTGACATATCCATCACCTTACTTAGTTATCTTTTTTATTTCTTTTGTGGTGAGAACACTTAGTACAATGTACAGAACTATTACCTATAATCACTATGTTATACATTGGATCTTCAGAACTTACTCATCTTGCATAATTGAAACTTGGTATCTTTTATTTACCCATTTCCCCTTCCTCCTAGCCCCTAATAATTACGATTCTACTCTCTATATGAGTTTTACTATTTTAGATTTTACATAAAAGTGTGATCATACAATATTTGTCTCCCTGTGTCTGGCTTATTTCATTCAGTGTACTATATTCCAGGTCCACCCATATTGTGACACAGTAAAAGAAACTTAAAGGAACAGCAATTACTTATGCTACCTTACATTCAAGTGGTAAGAAAAACAGATGTATTTACCTGCGTTTACTGGGAATCACTCCAACTTCATCACTCTCACCATCTGGTGTAACCTGCCTGGCTTGCCACCATTCGTCATCAGAAGCATTGATGACATGGAGGATATCTCCAAATTTGAAGTTCAATCCCTGACTGGGAAGGCCACTGTCTTTAGTCTTGTCATAATCAAAAAGGGCTCTAGATTCAGAAGAAAAAAAATCCACAATTAGTTGCTATAATGCTGGTAATCAATATTAAATAAACATAAGATTCTGAAAGTGTATGTAATTTGGATAATATACCATGGTAGGCAAAAGAATGCATAGTTTAATTTTGCTCTATATACAAGAAGATAATTAGACAAAAAAGAAATAGCAAAATCAATGTTATGAAATTAGTTTGTTATTAGGTATATTAGCTATTTCTTTCAATATTGTAAGAGAAATTTAAATAATGTTAGTACAATCCAATGGCAACCCATATCGAATTCTAACACAAAGACAAATCTAGAGAGTTGTTCTAAATTAATAAATAAAAAGTAAACATTAAGAGATATTATTCTCTTTACTTTGACTAGACATACTTGGGAAAAAAAAATTCCTGATAAATTTGATTAGTTGTAGATTATAAGACTAGATCAACATAGTGATTATTCTGACAATTAATTCTTCCTTCCATTTGTTCACAAAAGTTAGAGTTAAGAGGGTTTCCAGTGTGAATAACAATGATGAAAACTAATGACAGATGACTTTATTAGCTGCCAAATATTTTGGAAAAAAATATTAATTTAATATGGTAATTATAATATGTTAAGAATATTTTAAAAATCTGATAAAGAGAAAATATTATTTACTACTTGATTAATTAATGTACAACATTTAAATAAATTACATTTTTAACTCCAAATAAGCTCTCTCAAGGGTACAGGAAAGGATCCCAGAAATTATATTTATAATATTTATTTATATATTTATAATACAATTTATTCATTTTTTGTTCTAATTTGGCACCTGGAAATCAGCAGGCAAATCATATTCTTTTTCATGCTACCCAACTTTTAAGAACCTAATTCTTGAAGTAAAACTCAAGAGGAAGAATTTCTTGATGGCTAAATGAATGAACTAGTAGTTAATAGTTTTCTAATATGTTCTTTCAAATCTTTTCAGGAGCTAAGATGTGAAGGAAGTAGGTGGGAATCTAAAGTGGGAAGACTCACTTAAACACACATTAAAATGTATAGAAGATGAGGGTATAAATAAGTATAATACAAAATAAAAAATAAAGTAACTTAACAGGTAGTACAAATGTTAAGACATTCAGAAAAGGGAAAATACTATCTCAACATTTATATTATCATAAATTCATCTTTTGAATCACAAAAGTATTAATAATATATTATTGATGAACAATGGACAAAAGAAATCACCCACAATGTCTACTCCTTATTTAGCTTTATCTTTTAATATATTTGATTCATAAAAAAGGAACCAATAGAATATATATGTGGGTTATTAATCATAAGATACAATAAACACCTGTTAACCTACTATCCAATCTAAGATGACACACAAAACTTTTATCATTTATCAATAATTCAGAATCATCTACGTGTTTTCCCCTTGACCCCACTTCCCTCAGATCGAGAGTTAACCACCAATAAAAGGTAACCATCATTTTGAACATAGTGTTCATTATTTCTAGGACCCTTACCGTTTTTTTGTTGGTATGGTTTTATCACATATACTATGTTTTTGGTTTCAGAGCTTTATAAAATGGTATACTGTATGTGGTCTTCTGCAGCCTTTTTGACTTTTGAAATTAAAAACATGTTGACTAAAAATAAACACAAGACTTCTGGGTAAATATGGCAGGCTGGCTATGTGGCAGGATATGTCTACTTCTTCCATATCCTAACTAATTAAAGTTGCAATAAAAAAAGAAAAATACGTAAGAGAGAACACAACAGAAGAAGAAAGATTTGAACACATTTTTGGATGAGATAACTAAACTGACCAGAATAAAGGAAGCTTTACCTGGGGTGCCTGAAGAGAGGGACACTGAAACAAGTTTTATTCCATAAGAATCTTAGAAATGCTCATGAATTAGAGGTATATACAGTACCAAGGTAGGCAGGGATAAGTTATAATACTGATAACAGAAAGTATAAACACTTTATATATAGCACATACCCTCCAGGTCCCTATTCCCATTCCCAATCCTACAGAAGACCAGAGGTTTAGTTTCCAGAGAAGTTGAATTTGAGGACTGTACTCCGAAATTTGCTGGGGAAGAGGAAGGTGCTGAAGAGATGAGAAGGAAATCCACATAATGAAATGGAAATTCTAGCAACCTGGTTTATAATGCTGGCAGATTAAAGATTCTTCTCTAGATCTACTTAATTATACCAACAGAAAAAATGACATGGGTCATGAGAGGGAATGAAAGAGCCAGTTTATCCCCCATCCCCCATTATCTTCTAGTTAAACCCATTAGCTTCATTCTCTATTTGTAAGAATAAAAGACAAGGAAAGGATCATTGGATATTTAAAGAACACCTTACATATAAAAAACTAAAGAAAAAAGACCCAAGAAAATAAGCTAACTAGCAAAAATAAGCTAACTGTCCAAAGAAAGCAAAGAACATAAGAAACAGAAGAAAACTTCAGAGAAAAATGGGTATGTCCACAAAATATAAAGAAGATAATAAAAAAAGGAAACAATCCGATAACAAGAAGGAGCTCTTGGAAAATAAAATAGGATATTTATCATCCCCTCCCTCCACATCCCAAATTCTCTATCAGGAAAAAATCAGAAATAGTCATTTCAGACATGCTAAGACTCAAATGTAGCCCCCTCCACATACCCTTTTCTCCAGGAATTTATTGGAAGATGTGCTCTAGCAAAATAAAAGTAAATTGAGAAAGATGAAAATGTGGCATCTAGGTAACAGAATATGACACAGTGGATAGTCAAAGGAAATAGAATAATGGCAAAGGGAAGTCCCATCTAGTCTAGACTGCAGCATAAAGATGGAAAAAATATGAATTGATAGACCATATATGAGACCATATGCTTTTATCATGTGAAAAACTCTAGAGAGGCTACTGGAACATATAAGAAGACATTTAATAATAAGTATACGGAAACTATTAACTACTAGTTCATTCATTTAGCCATCAAGAAATTCTTCCCCTTGAGTTATACTTGAAGAATTAGGTTCTTAAAAGTTGGGAAGCAAATAAAAATGTGAGACAATTGTGACCAGGCAAAGTGGCTCACACCTGGAATCCTAGCATGCTGGGAGGCCGAGGTGGGAGGACTGCTTGAGGTCAATAGAGTTCAACACCGGCCTGAACAAGAGTGAGACCCCATTTCTACCAAAAATGGAAAAAATTAGCTGGGCGTGGTGGTATGTGCCTGTAGTCCCAGCTACTTTGGAGGCTGAGCCAGGAGGATTGCTTGAAGTTGCTGCGAGCTAGGCTGATGCCATAGCACTCAAGCCTGGACAACAGAGTGAGACTCTGTCTCAAAAAAAAAAAAAAAAAAAAAAAAAAGTGAGACAATCATTAAGTCCAGGAAAAATGAAGAGTTGCAGAAAAAAGAAGTCATGGTCAAAGGGTACTATTAATACTTTATTGAGCATTGGCAGCTATTATATAGTCACATGACTCTAAATGCTACTAATTTTAAATAACAGAGGTAGGGCTATGTTTAAATCATAGGGGAAGAGGCAGAATGAGTGCTTTGGTACCAGAAAGAAAAATTCTCTCCTATCGTGGTAGTAAGTTAGTAATGTTTAAAGTTGGTAAAGTAGAAAACAGCAGTATATGCAGGTTATTTAGAGATATGGAGGTAAAAGACAATGGAGTTTGCTAGGAAGATGGAGGGTGATTGTTTCTAGAGAATGAAAACTGGGGTTTGGTGAGAAGTGACAGTTATTTTTCATTATAAACCTTTTGATAATATATGATTTTAAAAACTAGAGTATTCTCTAAAAACAAAAGTTAATAACAAAAAGTGAAGATGATTCATTAAATGTACCTAAAACAGGTGTAACCTAGTATGTTTTGCTTTTTAAGCCTTTGTATTTAATCAATCACAAATAAAAGGCAACAACTATTTTTTTTTTTTTTTTTTTGAGACAGAGTCTCGCTTTGTTGCCCAGGCTAGAGTGAGTGCCGTGGCGTCAGCCTAGCTCACAGCAACCTCAAACTCCTGGGCTCAAGCGATCCTCCTGCCTCAGCCTCCCGAGTAGCTGGGACTACAGGCACGAGCCACCATGCCTGGCTGATTTTTATATTATATATATTAGTTGGCCAATTAATTTCTTTCTATTTTTATGGTAGAGACGGGGTCTCGCTCAGGCTGGTTTTGAACTCCTGACCTTGAGCAATCCGCCCGCCTCGGCCTCCCAGAGTGCTAGGATTACAGGCGTGAGCCACCGCGCCCGGCCTAGGCAACAACTATTAATTACACTAAAATTAGAAAATATAGATAAGCAAAAAGAAGAAAATGAAAAAAGAATATAAAGAAAAATCTATGTTTTTCTTTTTTCTATGACTTGTGTATATAAAATACTTTTAATGACTTTGGAACACAAGGGTTTAGTAAAATTGCAAAAATTGGTGAAGGGAGACAAAAATCTGATATATTTAAGATTCCCATATCATTGCTAGGGTAAAAGAAACAAAAGGGGTAGGAATAGAATGAAAGAAAAAACTGAGAAAATTTTCCTTTCATTATGTATCAGAATAAAATTTGAGACAGTAAGTCATATCATATCATATATAAACATGTATAAAGTATATATGTGCTTGTATACAGATATATTTATATAAACACATGTACAAGATACATGTCTATTTATGTAATGTATGTCATCTCTCATCAGGATAAGTGCAACATATTAAGTCCCTCAATAGGATCAGAAGGAATGAGAGAATAATTAATAAATAGTTCAGATTACTTGTAGTGCTTAACTAACATTAAAATAACAGTATAATAAAGTTTTCAAAGTGTTGCTAAAAATACAAAGAATACAAATGAGATTTCTACATTAAGTCTTATTAGCCAATGAAATAAAAAAGGTTTATATACTAATATCTGTTTAATATTATTAATAGATCTATGTTGCTACAGTAATCTTATACCTTATAGAAAAAAAACATTTGTTTTCTACCAAGTGTTTAAAAAATACATGTAGAAATTTCTCGCATATGTATTCTTTACTGAGTCTATTCACATTTTAAGCTATTATTTACATATACTCCCTTTGCTATTATGGAAACTGCCATGGTAATTAAATATTACTCAAATGGAGAATGTTATTATAAAAGAATACAAGTAAATCTAAGTGTTGGATGATACGACATAGTAAGCTTCTAGTCACCATGAAAACATCAATCTAGAAAAATTTCTGGTCTATAGAACCAGAAATTTCTTTATCATAACATTATTATGCAAGGGATTACATAACTTTCATTGATAAAATTATATAATATTTTAATTCTTAAAAGCCATAATACCATGGAGCCAATCAGAAAAAAAACCATTTCAGTAATTTATAATATATTTTTCTATAGTAAAACTAAGTAAGTCATAGTAAAAAATCTGAAAGAATTTGTACACATAGATAATAAAGAGCTGCCATAATTAGAAGTAAAAACATTTACCTGACATAGAGGGATCGCTTCTGGCTAGTTCGAAGAGAACCTGACCCTGAACTAATACTACTATTCATCATCTGCTCCCGTAAGTCATGTATTTTAGCTTCAAAACGACTGTATTCTGAGGGAAGAAAGAGAGAAATGAATTTATATTTTATACTCTCAAAAAATAAGTTACTTAAAGATAAAGTGTTAAATATGTAAATAGTCTTATAATTGATTAAATATGCTTAGAACTTTAAAACAGTCATTAGTATAAGATTTTGTCCAATATGAAAATTAAAAAATTAACCTAAATGAAACAAAAATTAGAATATTCCCATGTGCTATTTTAAAGTTCTTAAAGTGTACATTTTAAAAAATCAGGATTTGTTTTAAATTTTATATTTTAAAAAGAAGCTTATAATATTTAGTATACTAGGTGCTTTGATTACAGACTTTTTTCCTTTGAGAAAATCAGTTAATCTTATATTCTTAAATATAGAACTTGTGCAGGGTCAATAACAATGGAAAAATAGGCCTTAACTGATAAATGAAATTAAATCTATTTTAACCCATTTTATAATTTATAAACTGCCAAAATAATACAGAAAGCAATCTGAAATAATATTTATAAATATTTTATTTAAAACATTTTTATACAAAACGAGCTTGATTTTGAAGATGGACTATTTTAAACATTATGTTAAAAACTACTAAATCTATTAATAATGAAAAACTTAGATACTTTTTCAAAAATACTGCCATTACATGGTTATATATACTTATATTAAATATATTTGGATCTATTTGTAATAAATTCTTTTATAACTAGGTCATATCAAATCTGATTTTCTTATAAAGCCTGTCTTATAGCAAACAACTTATCTGGGCATTTGTGTAGTTTAAGAAAAACAGAGTAAGAGCAAATATGATTACTGTTGAGTTACTCTTCTTTTCACCATGTTATCAAGTTTGTTTTATGGATACCAAGATTAATTGAAGCAACAACTCACTAAAAAGCTCAGAAACATTTAAAAGCTCACATTAATATCTAATAAAATATTCTTTTAGTCTCTTTTTAAAAACAATAAAAATTTAAAATAAAAGTATTAGATTTATTAGTATATCCATTATAATTCAATAATTGTCAATCCACAGCAAGTCTTTATATAGTATGTGTAGATACGGCAAAGATACAGATTGATGAATGGAGAAATAGATAAAAATATAAAGAATATCATGAGTTTATACTAGTTCTTCTAATTAAAAACTAGGACCACTGGGTTTTTACATATCTCTATCTTACATTTGTATCTGCTGTCTTGCATATGAAGAATTCTATCTCAAGATACTGGGAATAACAGAATTAGAATATCACATAATGACTTGTTTTATCCAATATTACATTCACAACAGTGAATTACAACACCAACATTACCACCATGGCATGAATACTGAAAACAGTTAACTATTTTAGTTTTTTTATCATTAGGGTATAAATCCACTGGGGATTGTAGGCTGAATTACTGTTTTAAAGTCTTTTGGAATAGTTTCTCCCTGGGTATTAATGTTGTCAAATGGATAACACATTTATATTCATTTGCTGTTTATTTTCAACTTCAATTTTTAGGGGCTGCCTTCTAAATTTTTCATTGTTTTTATATGTAGGTAAAATAGTTCCACAGTCAAATCTATAAAATAAAGATATTAAAAAAAAGTCCAGACTCTATCTCTTTTTCTCATCCTATTCCATCTTGGTTCTTATACGTGAACATTTAAAGAAAGGCTTATTCTTCTATTTTTAACAATAAGTAGATACACACATACATGCAAATATATTTACATATATTCTATAATTTTATAAATGTATATATTATTTATGTGTATGTATATACAAACACACACATTTCTCCTTGTTCTAAAACAGTAACAAATATTTCTCTACTTTTTTTACTTAAGTATATCTAGATGGTCACTCACTCCATAGTAATATATACAGTTGTCCCTCATTCTTTTTTTATAGCTATGTAGTCCTTTTGTTTTTAACTTTTACCTTGTGTTGTAGGTATGTCTCTTAAATACTGTACTGGGTTAGATTTTGCTTTATTAGCAAATCTGAAAATTGTTTTTGTGAGTTAACTTTTGATGATTGAAACTGTTTGATCTCAGTTCTATTCTTACCATTTGTGTTATATTTATTCACATCTTTTACATAAATAACCCATGGCAGATTATATCTTCCAGATTAAATCTTCCATGGAAGATTATATCTTCCAAATACTCGTATCCCACATGCTCTTGTACAATGTGACCTTGCCATTCCCCCATTAAGAGGTGAAGTCTAATTCTTCTCTGCTTGAATCTGGGCTAGTCTTTTCATTCATTTTTAAGCAAGAAAATGTGGTAGAAGTAATCCTGTATGATTTTTCAAGGTTGGATTGGAGAGGACATGAAGATTCTGCCTGATTCTTTCATAACGCTTGTTCAGGGGAAAGCCAGACACCACATAACAAGTCTGACAATTCTAAAACAACCATATTGCAGAGGTCACATGATAGTGCTCTGAGCCCAAACTTCCAGCTAGTACCACCAAAGCATTACAAGGGAAGTGAAGCCATATTAAAACCCCAAAGCAGCTAATGCAACAGCTGAGCCCCACTAAATGACCTCAGTTGATGCCACAGGGAACAGAACCATCCAGCCAAAATCCTGCCTGAATTCCTAACCTACAGAATCCATAAAATGGTTGTTTTAATCCACTAAGCTTTGGGGTAGTGTGTTACAAAACAAGAGTAACTAGAACACAATCTTACAATATGATCTATTTGTTCCTTTAAGTGTATGCATGCATGTGTGTGTATAAAACTTTAGGAAGATTTGTATTTTTCTTCTAATTGCAACCTTTTGTTTGTCTTTTGGTCCTCAGTCCCCTACTATAAGCAATCTCTCCAGATCAGATTTGAAATATTATCCATTTATATCCAATTAAAAGCTTTAAAGCAATTAGTAAGCCTATTCTATTTTCATATTATCTTCAAATTCTCCCATTTTCTGATAATGATACTTTATCAAAATTGGCAGAGCATACAGGCTTCTCATATTATACTTTCTTCCTTATAAACATCTTAATTAATGCTAATGCTAGCCTTTATGTCAGTATCTCTCCCATCATTTTGGATGTCTGAAGGTTGTTCTGTCTTCAGAAGTGTTTATACAAACAATATCACCCTAAATCTTTGTTGATACATTTCATTGTGGCCTTTCTATGTGAATGTCTGTTTGATTCAGTTTCTTTGTTTTAGTCTTGACTATGTTCACTCCACTGCCTCCTTTTAACTACTGCTGATGAAATTCTGACAACAAACTAATTTTCTTTCCTTTAAAGGGTTTTTTGTTAGGGTGGATGTGTAGAATTTTACAATTTTTTTCTTTAAATTCCAATAATTTTATTATATTTATCAGTACTGGCTATCATCTTAGATACATGAATGTCCTTTTGATACATAGTTTGAAAATTTTTTTTAACTTTATAAAAGTTTCTCTATTTATATATTTCTAGCATTGTTTTGGTTTTCTTCCTAGGGAACTCCTATTATGTGCATTGAATATTCTTGGCCTACCTTCAATATCTGTCACTTTCAAAGCCTTTCTTTCTTTCTTAATTTTTTTAAAGACTGAAACAATCACAAACTTTGTTTTTTCCTGAACCATTTGCGAGTAACTTCCTTTCTTTACCCCTGAATACTTCTGTGTAATTTCCTACAAATATTTTCCTATATAATCACAAAACTATCAAAATAAGGAAAGTAATATTAATGCATTACTACTATTTAATGCTCAGATCCCACTTAAGTTTCACTAATAATGTCCTTTGTAGAAAAAGGATCCAGTTCAAAATCATATGTTGCATCTAGTTGTCATATCTGTTTAGTCTCTTTCAATCATTAACAGTTTCCTTGGCTTTGTGATCTTGATATTACTGAAAAGCACACGTTATCTTGCAGACTCTCTCTCAACTTGGGTTTGTCTGAAGTGTCCACATGATTAGATTCAAGTTATGCAAATTTGGCAGGAATGTCACAGAAGAGATGTTATATTCTTCCCAATGTACCCTATCAGGTGGTACATAATTTTGATTTGTTCCATTACTAATGTTATTAACTTTGATCACTTGATGGTGGTTGTGTCCACCAGGTTTCTCTACTGTAAAATTAGTTTTTCCTGTTACAAATAAGTTATTGAAACAGTGTACATTTCTTCATTCTCATAGAACTTTCAATTCATTCATTTATTTATATTAGTAAGAATTCATGATTTCCTAAATATATTCACTAGGTTATAATCTGTTATCATCATCACCAATTTTATGCTGAAATTGTTCCTCATTTAGCCAGTGGAAAGCCCTTTAAGTTGGACTCTGTGAGCACTTGACAGGTCTCCATCATTCCTTGAGTATGTCTTTGCTTTCTGGTACAGGATATTACAGAATATTCTAGTATTTTCTCTGCCTGACCCCTAGGGAACCAGCCAGTTGTCCAAAAAGCCTTAGTAATTTTAGTGGGGAATAGTTTTTAGAAAGCGAGATCTGGGTTCTAGATATGCTCTTTGCTACTGGGTTGACACTGAACCCAGGCTGTTTCAGAGTGCAGAGCAGGCATAAATAAATAAATATATGCATGCACGCACATATACACACATCTATATTAATTGAAAACCATGACTTCATAACAATTTCTCCAATTCTAACCCAATATTATAAGATTTATATTTTGTTTTCTTCCTTTCCATATTTACAACTTTCTTCTCTAAAAGTAAAAATCATGAATGACATTAACTTAACATATATATTCATTTGATCAATCTCAATTTGATCACCTGTCCACTTTCCTGACTGGGCCCTGACCAGTCCTCTATGTGTCCTGATTAAGCTCAGGCTCCAACTCCTCACCAGGACCTTGCAAAGAAGTCATCCTATGGTTAAGTCCAACAGGCTACCATAGCTCTTCTTAACCTCTCCAGCCTGAAAGTGTAGACAACTACCTTGCTCTGCTCTGCCTAATGGTTTTAGGACTAAATTGATCAGAATGTGGAAAGGAAAAGATCTCTTCTTTTCTGATTAAAATAAAAATTTCCTCCTTT